ACAATTCTATTTCAGAACCATCCTCAGAGATGGGAAAACTAGTTTCATATTAATCTGACACTGCAATCGAGCAACGAAAAATTCGTTGGCTCGAGCGGGATTTGAACTCGCATCTTCGGGTATCTAGACCGCCGCTCTACCTATTGAGCTATCGAGTCAACAGGGATTGGTAGCGAGTCTTATCCAATTTAAGTGCACGAAATATTTTCGTGGCGGTCTAGATACCCGAAGATGCGAGTTCAAATCCCGCTCGAGCCAACGAATTTTTCGTTGCTCTATTGCAGTGTCAGATTAATATGAAACTAGTTTTCTTATATGGTGTTGTTTACAACTTTCGTGCAAACTAAATTTAGACCGTGCAAACTAAATTTAGACCGTACAGTTTATACTATTTTTCGAAATATAAGATATTCAAGCAAAAGTTCAAATGTTTTAAATACTGTTTTCTCAAAACAGAACATTTCGTGCTTTGAGATAACACGGCCAAGACCAATATGAACAGTTAATGTGTTTTTTTATTCAGCAGTTGACATATATAGAGCTCAGCAGAAACATATAAATTATAGCATCTGACCAATGAGAATTTCGCGTCATGATTTGAGACGCAGATATTCAAATTCATTAGTCATCGATGCAGGCTCTCAATTCAGCTTGAGAGCCTGTTCGCAGAGCTATATCATCATATGACATATCAGTAGTTTCATCTTCAAGTCAAAAGACCTTTCATTCGCTTTCAAACATTGAATATTTCATGTCCTAGTTCTAAAGTTTCTGTTTGAGATTCTAACATTAGATTTGGCACATTGAAAGTTTCACAGAGCACATGTGTCAACACTGAGGGTTAAGACAAATATATTAAACGTTTTTGCCACTACAGTCCACTGTTGAGGTTTCAACTTAACGTCATTGTACAAACCTTGTATATTTCTAATATTTCCCGCCGACATAGGCACCTTCGAGGCAACTTCAACACTTGGTTTTGGTAAGCCAACATTCATGCTTGAAGGACGATTGGAGACGTGTGGAACTGGGTTCATTTCCTTCAATATATTGGTCAAAGCTTGCTGCTTTCACAACGACGCTGTTGATAAACAAGTGGTTGATAAGTATCGTCGTAAACTACACGTCAAAATTAAGTTAAAAACAGCTAAAAACGTGCCAAAACCATAAAGAAATGTAGCTCAAATTTTGTACATGTCGGCCGCCATTTTAAATTTGTCCGCGCAGAAGAATGGGGATTGGGGACTTGTAAAGAGAAAAATCAATCTCGTACCCAGAGCCATCGCAATCTCGTTCCCCGAGCCTGCGATCCTCGGGAAGGAATCGAAGGCTCTGGGATAATCCGTTACCGGAAGCCAAGAATCATGGCTAAGATTGAACTACGCATTCCATTTCAATGGCCAATCAGATTCCTCCCTGAAACGGATTATCCCAGAGCCTCACGTTCCTTCCCGAGGATCGCAGGCTCGGGGAACGAGATTGGAGCCATCGTTGAGTGAACGATGGCTCTTACGAGATTGAGAAAAATAGGTACGCACCAATTTTTCCGAGCACGGCACTGATGACTTTTGTGATCCAATTTTAATCAATTTTGCAATTTCAATTTAAATTAAGCAATTTTGACATGACTTTCTGAGTACCAGCCGTATGCAAATTATCCATGACCAGATAGTTATCATAGATTCTACCAGGAATTGAAAAATGCCAACGTAATTGTAAATATGTTATTTTACAATCCATGATTCTAGTACGCTTGCCCGTTGCCCGGATTCTTGAGTCAACTAGATGGTCTAGTGGTAAGGACGAAGTGTTGCAAGTGCGTAAATCCAGGATCGATTCCTGGTTGTGCCGAAAGCATTTTAATGTCAGGCATCGTTGTTTGTTAATTCCATCCGAGACGAGAAAGAGTTAAGTAGAATAAAAAAGGAGTTAAAGCAAGTGTAGGCGAGATGGTCTAGTGGTAAGGACGAAGTGTTGCAAGTGCGTAAATCCAGGATCGATTCCTGGTTGTGACGAAAGCATTTTAATGTGAGGCATCGTTGTTTATTAATTCCACCCGAGACGAGAAAGAGTTAAGAAGAATAAAAAAGGAGTTGCAACCAAGTGGAGGCGAGATGGTCTAGTGGTAAGGACGAAGTGTTGCAAGTGCGTAAATCCAGGATCGATTCCTGGTTGTGCCGAAAGCATTTTAATGTCAGGCATCGTTGTTTGTTAATTCCATCCGAGACGAGAAAGAGTTAAGTAGAATAAAAAAGGAGTTAAAGCAAGTGTAGGCGAGATGGTCTAGTGGTAAGGACGAAGTGTTGCAAGTGCGTAAATCCAGGATCGATTCCTGGTTGTGACGAAAGCATTTTAATGTGAGGCATCGTTGTTTATTAATTCCACCCGAGACGAGAAAGAGTTAAGAAGAATAAAAAAGGAGTTGCAACCAAGTGGAGGCGAGATGGTCTAGTGGTAAGGACGAAGTGTTGCAAGTGCGTAAATCCAGGATCGATTCCTGGTTGTGCCGAAAGCATTTTAATGTCAGGCATCGTTGTTTGTTAATTCCATCCGAGACGAGAAAGAGTTAAGTAGAATAAAAAAGGAGTTAAAGCAAGTGTAGGCGAGATGGTCTAGTGGTAAGGACGAAGTGTTGCAAGTGCGTAAATCCAGGATCGATTCCTGGTTGTGACGAAAGCATTTTAATGTGAGGCATCGTTGTTTATTAATTCCACCCGAGACGAGAAAGAGTTAAGAAGAATAAAAAAGGAGTTGCAACCAAGTGGAGGCGAGATGGTCTAGTGGTAAAGACAAAGCGTTGCACGTGTGAGAAGCTAGGTTCGATTCCTGGTTGTGTTGAAATCATTTTGGGCAGGGAAAGGTTCGAAAATAATTCTATTAACTTTCTCGTTTTGTTCGACTATACTTGCAGCTGTAAAAACCTGTTTTTTATCGTCTAATGATGCACGAGTCAGGCATCGACAGAAGGCATAGGAACGTAGATTCTAAAAATACAATTCTCAGACTGGCCCAAATTCAAGTCTCTGCTACAAGAGCCTTGAAAGTCGATAGAACATCAGTTCGAAACAGCATAATATTAACTTTCACGTCTTTTTCGATTATGCACCTGGAATAACCTGCTTTGTTTCTTCATGGACTCTCTTTTGATACACGAGTAAGCAATCGATAGAAAGTTTGTGGACCGTAGATTCTAAAAATACAATTTTCAGACTGTGACAAATTCCAGTTTCTGCTGCAGAGGCCTTGAAAATCAATACAACGCAAGGTTCGAAATCGCATAATATTAACTTTCACCTCTTTTTCGATTATGCACTGGAATAACCTGCTTTGTTTCTTCATGGACTCTCTTTTGATACACGAGTAAGCAATCGTTAGAAAGCTTATGGAACGTAGATTCTAAAAATACAATTTTCAGACAGGCGTAAATTCACGTTTCCGCTACAGGGACCTTGAAATTCAATACAACATCAGATTCGAAACAGCCCAAACCCTAACCCTCACTTATATAATATTAACTTTTACGTTTTTTTCGATTACACAGCTGGAAAAACTGCTTTTTATCTCCACGTCCGACCTAGTGATACACGAATGAGGCATTCGCAGAAAGCTTATGGATCGTAGATTCCAGAAGTATAACTTTCAGGCTAGCCCAAATTCAAGTCTCAGCTACAAGAGCCTTGAAAGTCGATAGAACATCAGGTTGGAAACCGCATAATATTAACTTTCACGTCTTTTTCGCTTATGCACCTGGAATAAACTGCTTTTTATCTTCATGGGCAGTCTCACTCTATTGATACACGAGTAAGGCATCGATAGAAAGCTTATAGACCGTAGATGCTAAAAATACAATTTTCAGAGCGTACCAAATTCTAGTTTCTGCTGCAGAGACCTTGAAATTCAATAGAACACAAGGTTCGAAACCGCCCAAACCCTAACCCTCACTTATATAATACTAACTTTCACGTTTTTTTCGATTATCCACCTGGAATAACCTGCTTTGTTTTTTCATGACCTGTCTTTTGATACACGAGTAAGGCATCGATAGAAAGCTTATGGACCGTCGATTCTAAACATACAATTTTCAGACCGTGACAAATTCACGTTTCCGCTACAGTGACCTTGAAATTCAATAGAACATCAGATTCGAAACAGCCCAAAACCTAACCCACACTTATAAAATACTAACTTTCACCTTTTTTTCGATTATGCACCTGGAATAACCTGCTTTGTTTTTTCATGAACTGTCTTTTCATACACGAGTAAGGCATCGATAGAAAGCTTATGGACCGTAGATTCTAAAAATACAATTTTCAGACCGTGACAAATTCATGTTTCCGCTACAGGGACCTTGAAATTCAATAGAACATCAGATTTGAATTTTTTTTCGTGATAGATCAAGTTAGATATGTTCAAAACGCATATTAACGGAGATAGGTTTGGCTCAGGGGAATTTTAAAGCACATTTTCACATGAGTATCATAGAACTGAGACGTACGCAAAGCAATCATTGCCCGTCCCGATTACTATAAATTACACTACGCTTGCCCGAATTTCGCAGTCAAATAAAGCTAGGCTTGTCACTTAGAAAATTTTGGGCTGATCGAAAAAATTTTTTCGTCATAGACCGACTTAGAAAGGTTCAAAACGCATATTAACGGAGATAGGTTAGGCTCAGGGGAATTTTAAAGCACATTTTTACATGGCTATCATAGCACTGAGCCGTATGCAAATGATTCCTTGCCCGTCCCGATTACTATAAATTACACTACGCTTGCCCGGATTTCGGAGTCAAATAAAGCTAGGCTTGTCACTTAGAACATTTTTGGCTGATCGAAAAAAATTTTTCGTCATAGATCAACTTAGAAAGGTTCAAAACGCATATTAACGGAGATAGGTTTGGCTCAGGGAAATTTTAAAGCACATTTTCACATGGCTATCATAGCACTGAGCCGTATGCAAATCAATCCTTGCCCGTCCCGATTACTGTAAATTACACTACGCTTGCCCGTCCATTAATATAAATTACACTACGCTTGCCCGTTGCCCGGATTTCTGAGTCAAATAAATTTTTGGCTGACCGAAAAAATTTTTTCGTCATAGATCAACTTAGAAAGGTTCAAAACGCATATTAACGGAGATAGGTTTAGCTCTGGGGAATTTTAAAGCACATTTTCACATGACTATCATAGCACTGAGCCGTATGCAAATCAATCCTTGCCCGTCCCGATTACTATAAATTACACTACGCTTGCCCGGATTTCGCAGTCAAATAAAGCTAGGCTTCTCACTTAGAAAATTTTGGGCTGATCGAAAAAATTTTTTCGTTATAGACCGACTTAGAAAGGTTCAAAACGCATATTGACGGAGATAGGTTTGGCTCAGGGGAATTTTAAAGTACATTTTCAGATGAGTATCATTGCACTGAGCCGTATGCAAATGATTCCTTGCCCGTCCTGATTACTATAAATTACACTACGCTTGCCCAGATTTCGCTGTCAAATAAAGCTAGGCTTGTCACTCAGAAAATTTTTGGCTGATCGAAAAAATTTTTTCGTCATAGACCAACTTAGAAAGGGTCAAAACGCATATTAACGGAGAAAGGTTTGGCTCAGGGGAATTTTAAAGCGCATTTTCACATGGCTATCATAGCACGGAGCCATATGCAAATGATTCCTTGCCCGTCCCGATTACTATAAATTACACTACGCTTGCCCGGATTTCGCAGTCAAATAAAGCTAGGCTTCTCACTTAGAAAATTTTGGGCTGATCGAAAAAATTTTTTCGTTATAGACCGACTTAGAAAGGTTCAAAACGCATATTGACGGAGATAGGTTTGGCTCAGGGGAATTTTAAAGTACATTTTCAGATGAGTATCATTGCACTGAGCCGTATGCAAATGATTCCTTGCCCGTCCTGATTACTATAAATTACACTACGCTTGCCCAGATTTCGCTGTCAAATAAAGCTAGGCTTGTCACTCAGAAAATTTTTGGCTGATCGAAAAAATTTTTTCGTCATAGATCGACTTACAAAGGTTCAAAACGCATATTAACGGAGATAGGTTTGACTCAGGGAAATTTTAAAGCGCATTTTCACATGACTATCATAGCACTGAGCCGTATGCAAATCAATCCTTGCCCGTCCCGATTTCTATAAATTACACTACGCTTGCCCGGATTTCGCAGTCAAATAAAGCTAGGCTTCTCACTTAGAAAATTTTGGGCTGATCGAAAATTTTTTCGTCATAGACCGACTTAGAAAGGTTCAAAACGCATATTGACGGAGATAGGTTTGGCTGAGGGGAATTTTAAAGTACATTTTCAGATGAGTATCATTGCACTGAGCAGGGGCGGATCCAGCTCCTGAACTGACTGATGCATACATAAGAACTCGCATTTGTCGGGGGGTCCGGGGGTATCCTCCCCCGGGAAATTTTGAAATCTAGAACCTCGGAAATGCGATTTCCTGCGTTCTGAGCAAACTCTTTTGTTCCAATTCATACATCAGAGTCACAAATTTATTTGCTGCATTTTTGGAAAGCACGTAAAAAACTTGAACCTATATATCGCAAAAACAACATAATTTTTCCATATAAGAAAAAATATTTGCTTGTACAATTGTAATAGCAGCAGCGGTGCATAAGTCTCTATTAAAAAATAGTCAGTACTTACTACTGTGCTTCTTGTAGCCTTAACTTTTCTATTGAAAAACATTTCGGCAAAAAATCACGACAACGCAAATACACACATCCGTGTAACAAAGGTGTATACAGTGTGATCCACTAGTTGCAATGTTGGACTCAAAAGACAATGTTATTAGGTTTCTTAACCACCTTCCCTGAGGCTTATTCATTTCCACTAATTTGCAATGTTCCATGAGTAAATTTTTTAGCATTAGAATGGTGCATAAAGGTATTTTGTGCTCTAGTTGGTAAACTTATTTATATACAACTCTGTCTTATGCTGCTAACCTTACTCTGTATGGACAGTGTTGTTGGCATCAGTATGTCAACTTTATTCACCCCTAGCAATAGATGCCTTTGATGTGAATTGCATATTTGCATGGTGACTAGCCCACACTCTAAATTACTGAGAATATTGCCCTGTCACCAGGAAACCAGTACAACTAACACACAACAAGCACTTAGTTTTAAAATTCTATAAGTATAAAGGTACACATGACCCCAAACTTTAAATCAATAGATATATATTATATAGTGATACTGTGTGTAAATTGATTTAATGTACTATCTTAGTTGAAAATTGTTTGTCAAATGAACCTACCAAACTGTACAATGATAAACAATATATGATGACATAATTGAATCATTAGATGTCTTCTATCAGTCCCTTTTTGCCTGCCTTTCAACTAATATATTAATATAGTACTCTTTTAAGATGATGTCAATGTAGAAAGGCTGCGCAGTAATATTGATCAATATTTTCTCTGTGTTACTATATAAATGCACATCTTCGTCAAATATATCCGTACACTAATAAATGGTAATCCTCAGAGAGCCATGCTGGCTATCCAAAACATATAGTATTGGGAGAATTAAGCACTACAAATATATATAATTTAATTAAATCTATACCACTTTTGTGAGCAAATTTCATAATTATAACCTATGTACACCAGTTACATGCAGTTATATACAGTATTTATAACGTCCATCATTTTATCATTCTAAGATTAAAATTTGTCAACAGAATGACATATACAGCTTATTTCAAATTATATTTGCACCGACAATGCATATGTACCAAACTATGGTAGGCGAGCACGCCCAGGTAATGATCTTTGTTTGCAAAATATCCAGTGTACAGTAATTGCCCAATAACTCAGGCAGTGCAAAGCAATTATACTCTTGTCATGAGGCATGCCAGCTCATTTCCATATAAAATGAAATGTAATGTTTTCTAACCAATATTGCATCACTATTAGAAATCCAGCTCATTAACCCATTAAGCGCCAGCGCTCTCCCCTTGACGAGTAAAATCGTCTGGCATTAGACAGAGTAAAATACTAAAGTAGGGTGCATCAGGGTGCAATGCGACTCAATGGGTTAATTAACCTGCAATATTATTATGCATTGTAATTACATACTGTACAGAGCCTGATGCAAGTCTTGACCCAGACCAAAGTTTTATTTTTAGTACCGGTATCCAATCAAAATGTGCCAGGCGCAATGTCAAATTATTTCACATAATTTAACAACAAGCTAAATATAGTTACAATCACTATTTAATCTATCATTATTTAATTATATATAGCACTAACCAAAATATCAAAAAAATACATTAAATATGGCATGAATACTCATGCTAGAAGTAGCCGGCAATCAGAGTTACAACCATAAAGGCAGTTGTAGGACACAAACATTTAATAACATGCGACTTTATCAGGTCTTCATTTTTCTTTGCCCGCCAGCTGTGAGAAAAATGAAGGTCTGCATGGGCACAGGTTATATAAATCCCATGTAAACAGAGATGAAATTTGCCTCAGTAAAGCAAGCTGTCAAGTTTGGTAATGGGGCTGGTTTGCCTCCAGACAAACAAATCTCTGTAAATACTGTAAAATGTCTAAAATGTCAAACTACCTCATCCCCCCACCCCCCTCACAACCCCCCTCCTGGTATGAACAGCAGTATCAAATAGACACAAACTTTAATTATTATGTTATAAATACATACAAATCTACATTAACTGTGGAGCCAATTTTCCACTTTATGCACTTCTTGAACTGAACAATTAACAATGTACTACAATGTAAAATATACATAAATTCCACTTACTTTAGAGCCCTTAGTGGCCGTAGTGGGCATCTCACATTCTCACAGCATAAATATACTTCAATTCTTGTGCTCACTGCTCAGTTGAAAGATTAAATTCATTCCAAACCTTGGTAATTAATTCGACAGTAACTTAATTGCTCTCCATCATATTCGAGGGATATTTCTTCGCATTATTTGTTCATTTGCATATGTGTTTGCATATCCTTGCCGCCATGACTTGAATCGAATGCCTCGTTACGTCACAGTAGATTTTGATTTTGAAATTTGCATCAGTGAACTGATGCGAGCGCCCGCAATCTGCATGCGATGCATCGCTCAGCGGACTAATCTACCGTGACGTAGGGCTCTAAAACAATAGATTTGATGATGTCACAGTAGATTTTACGCGGAAAAGGACTCGGGACCGATGCATTCACTGATGCAAAATGGCTGAAAATCGAATGCAAACAAAATCTACCGTGACGTAGGTGATGCATCAGCTTTCTACTGTGACGTCAAAGGAAGCAGTAAAAAATAATATATTTTGTCGCGAAATTATTCACGCTTAAGTGTCGCAAAATAAAAAGTAAATAACAGAAAATACTTTTGCGATCGCACGTCGCATATTGGACTTATTTTGACAATTTCGACTGTTATTGAGACAATTTAAATTCGTTTTCATCCTAAATAGTGTATTCCCGACATGGACAGTCACATGGAGTCAAGTTTAAGCAAATATTTGCGATTTGATAGCTGGAGAGATTCAAAGATATTCTATTACTGAGTGCTTGACTAAGTATTGACGACATATTATTTCAAGCAACATGATTTCTCAATTTTGACCGATGCATTCGCATCGTTGGCATCGGTCTGGATCCGCCCCTGTATATATATAATACTCTTTTACCCTTTTTTCATATCTTGCTTACTTCTACAAATATTTTAATTGGATGGAATGAAATGTCAGGCTTTTCTAACCATAATTATATAGGGAATTTGGATTAATTATTTTTTACCTTAAATAACAGACTCGTATTTAATAGTATTATAATAAAAATATACTGACAGTGACACACTATCAGAATCGGAAAACGATTTTAGCCACATGGTGATGGTGATACGATGAAACGGAAAACAGATTTTAGCCACATGGTTCTTGCTTCGGCCTTTTATTGAGAAATCTCAGGTGAAGGGTAGAGACTGCGGAAATTATGTTGGCTTTTTTAGCAATTTTCACTTTGAATTTTTGGATTATATGTATCACACAGATATTTTTTACTTATTTGAAATGAAAATAAAAGATATATATGTTCAAAATACGAAAAATTGAGAACACAATAACGCACTGACTTAATCCAACGTTTCTTAAATATTTAGTTTTGTTGTGAAAATCGGTGTGAAACCTTTTCAAAACATTCAAGTAGAGTTGGACTTTTCGTATAAAACCACTCGTAACAGTCTGCATTATAGTTTTATTGGATTCATCAGATAAAAAACTACATATAAACTGAGTTGAATGACAGGATTTACGTAAGTTTCAGTGATAGTTCAGGAGTGCCTTGAAGACAGTATAATATATCATTTCAGTCCGTGGCACTGTTGTTGAGCATTGTGAGCATTATGAAATACAGTACTGAACGTATTAAATATATAAAAAAAACACACTGAAGGTAGGTAAAAAACTAGCTAACAACATACGTACTGTTCGAATGTTGAAAAGTTTAGGATTATAATAAACTAGGGATCCAAGGATAGTGAGAAGTTTCAAATTGAAAAAGTCACTGCAAGAACTGTATCATTTACAGTTACATATTTTTTTTACAGTATTTCAGCAACACTTTCGGAGCGACAGGATTGCGTTGCAGATCGGAAGAACAATTGCCTCGTGCGAGTCGTGACACATGACCTACAAGGCTATATAGGCTAAGCTAATACTATTATAATCCCTGATCTTTGGTTGTAGCCTCACGTTTCACACGAGTTGTGGACGGCTGTACTATTTTATCAACTATGCTGTAAGCAAACAAAATGTCGAATGGGAGACAATTCTGTATTTCGCTATTTAATGTCTGTAATCAGGTTTACATGAATCTTCATGAGAGAAGATATTATTAACGTTAGTTCGTCAAAGAATCAGTTCGCATATTAGTATAGTCTATAGCTTTTGTCTTTTTGATATCAGGTGACAGTGGATAACCAGTCTACGTCATTTGAAATGTTTATTTCTTGCCATATATTTTCGTTTCTTGTTGGTTGAATGATGATCGTGGCTTCAACGTAATACGTTTTTCTTCTCTTTTCTCTCAGTTCAGATCACACATTTAAGTTAATCATGGACGTTGTGTAGTTCTCTTGTAATTTCACTGTGATGACTGACAGTTCACAATGTATGGTTGGGATATGTGCTGGCTTCATGTTGTTGCTATTGGTGCGAACTTGGAAGTCGGTAATTTCCAAATTGTTAGCCACACTTTGAGGGTTGAATATTTCAGGTTCCTATAATCTTCATATGGTCATGATGTCACTAAAATAAGGATGAAAAGAAAATTAAATGAGTACAAGAATACTGTAGCTATATACACAGTGTCGTAAATTGCGAAGGGAGTCAATTAAAAATATATAAAATTCATTAAAACTCACCTTCTTAAAGCTTTGGAGTCACAGCGAGACTGCTTTCAGCGAGACTTCTTCTGCCACTAAAGTAAGTAGCGACGTTGATCCCTCGGAAATCGAGTGGGTAATCCAGTGGTGTTCTACAGATCTAGTCAGCACTGCATGGGTCTGAGTCCATTTGAGTTTATAAAAGATTTTGTGGCTATGAATTGATTGTATGGCTCTATATCACTATGTTCTGATATGTTCTATTAAACATTGTATCTTTGTTCTGATTTCTAAGATTGTTCTGACTTGAAGATTAACTTGAAGCTTGTCGATATTGGGATGCAGTTATTTGTAGTTTATACGTACAGTATATTAAATTTTAACTTCTTGAACTCTTCATTTATTTATTAATAAAAAATGTCAAATAAGTGACACGAAAATAGGCTTATGATCGCTAAAGTACGATTCTAAAACACCACTACTTTTTACTCTTTCAGGGATATTAGTGCATGATGTGATCAATTTGTGTTTCATAGTCAGTTGTCACTTGGCTAATAAGTTGCACGTATTGCTTTTCTTCGATTACATATTTAGAAAGTGTATTTTTGTCGGATGCATTTTCAAAAAGGTTAACATTAAAATCACCAAGGATGATAACAGGAGTATTTGGGTCATTTATATACGTGGAGTGCAAATGTTTTAAAGCATCTACGAACATTGAAATTTTTACTTTTGATTTGGAACGATAAATTCCTACAACATGTAAATTATTCATTGGTTGGTTTACTTTGAGTAATGTCATTTCTACATGATTATAGTTGCACCTTGAAGGTTCTAAGATGAGTTGCATATTGTCTTTTACGTAAACAGCAGTTCCATAAGGTGTTCTAGTACCATCTGGGATGAAGTCATTTCTGAATAGTTGAAATCCTGGAATCTGATACAATTCATTGTCGTCATTACTACATAGAGCAGTTTCTACAAATATATTAATATCTGCTGCTTTTACGTTATAATCACTCGCAACGTCAACAATGTGAAGATGTAATGATCTCACATTCTGGAATAATATTTTAAATGTCTCACTAGTATCTTTAATTATAGAGAAATGGAAGATGACTTTTAAGTACAGAATTTTGTCTTAGTCTTGTCATTTCTTCTTGTACCTTCTTGCTCACAGCTATTTTCTTTTCGTT